GCCCAACTGCGAGAACCAGCCCGGAGCAGCGCGGGGTCATGAGGGACGCGCTCCCTGATTGGTCGGGCGTGGTTTTTGGCCGCGCTTTCATTGGCTGTGGTTTTTTTGGGGCTCGCTCTCATTGGCCGCAGTGATTTTTGCGCTCTGTAATTGGCCGGTTCCGTTGGGAGCCCGATTTCCAGAGGCTCTACCCAGCACCTGAGGCGTCATTTCCGCTCCTTTTTCTGATTGGCCGGAATTTCTTAGGGAGCTCAAGTTCTGAACGCTCTCCCCGGCAACACGTGACGCGCCATACACCCCGCTCTCCCATTGGCCGAGCGCTTTTTGGGGTGCTGCTCCCCCGTTCCCAGTGCCCCCAGTTCGGATCCGCGTTCCTGGCAGCAGCACCGACCCTTCCCGGTGTGCCCGGAGCGCCATGGACGGAGCGCGGAGCCTCCCCGGCTGCTGCCGCTGCTGGCCCTGACCCTGACCCCGATTCTGGGGGTCCAAGGGGGGGTTTGGGTGGGGTCCCAGATTTGGGGTTCTCCGGGATTTTCTCTTTTGATCCCTTTGTCCCGCTCCGCTTCAGAAACAGAATTTAATTAACAACGGAGTCCAGGAAATTATTCATTACTATTTAAATGTAACAAAATTAGGTAAACGAAAATTCTATTTTAGTAACACATAGTATAATACTAATTTCTATATTTAATACTTCTGTAAAGTTTTTCAATTATTTATTAAAATTAATCCCGTTCGGGTCGTCTTCTTCCGACTGCTCCTCTTCCTCTCTCCTTCCTCTTCTATCTGGTTGCTCCTCCTCCTCCTCCTCCGCCTCGAGGCGGGGCGGGAGAACCGCGCGGTTCTTCCTCCTCCTCCTTTCTCCCTCCTCTTCCTCTCTTCTTCCTCTTCTTCCCGGTTCCTCCTCCTCCCTCCTCCTTTCTAATCCTTCCTCCTCCTCCTCCTCCTCCTCCTCCTCCTCCTCCTCCTCCTCCCGCTCCCCCCGGGCCCAGCCCCCACCCTTTCTCCCCCTCCCTTTGCCCAAATCCGTCCCCATCGCCCCCCCCCCCAACCCCCTCCCCATCGCCCCCAATAAACGGCCCCGGGGCCAACTGGGAAGCTTTATTGGGAGCACTGGGAGCAGGCACTGGGCGGGGGCAGAGCGCCAGCGGCGCTGGGGGGGACACGGGACCCCCCCCAAAATCAGCGGAGCGGGGACGGAGCGGGGGGTCCCGGCCGGGCCCGAGCCCACGGGGAGGGGCTGCGGCCGCCGCCGGCTCAGGAGCTCTGTGGGCAGAGAAAAGGGGGTGACACCGGGCTGGGGGCCCCGGCGGGAGCGCGCACGCTCCGCCACGGCCGGGACGCCACCCCCGGCACCCGCCCTGACCTTCTTGCGCACGTAGAAGCCGAGCCCCAGCGCCAGGAAGACGAAGCCCAAGACGAAGCCCCCGATGCCCGTCAGCATCTTGCTGCGGGCGGCGTCCGGCGGCATCTCTGGGGGGTCCGCAGGGCTCAGCACCCCCAAAACCTCTCACGGACACCCCCAGCCCCTCCCAGCGCCCTCCCTGTGGCCCCCAGCCCAGCCAGGAGCCCCTGAAACCTCCCCCCGATCCCTTTTGGTCCTGGCCAGGAGCCACCAAAGCCCCTCCCGTCCCTCTGAGGATCCCACAGCCCCCTCCCAGTTGCCCCCAGCGCCCCAGGAGCCCCAAAGCCTCTCGCAGTCCCTGGGCAGCCCCAGCAGGACTCAGCCAGAGCCCTCCCAGTCTGTGCCCAGCACAACCGAGCTCATGGCGAGCCCCGCTTGGCCATGGCCGATCTCCTTCCAGCGCCTCCGGGCTCACTGCGATCCCTCCCAGTCACACCCAGCGCCCCCAAACTCCCTCCCAGTCACACCCAGCGTCCCCAAACTCCCTCCCAGTCACACCCAGAGACCCCAAACTCCCTCCCAGTCACACCCAGCGCCCCCAAACTCCCTCCCAGTGCCCACCAGGACCCCCCCAACCCCATCCCACCCTCCCCAGCCTCCCCCAAACCCCTTCCCAGCCCTTGCCCAGTCCCCAGGGCCTCTCCCAGTCCCAGCCCGGCTCTCTCCAGCTCCCTCCCAGTGGCTCCCAGCACAGCCCAGTGGCTCTGCCAGCGCCCCCAGGGGCTCCCCCATACCCCAGTGCCGGCTCAGGGGCTGCTCCAGGCTGACGTGCTCCACCTGGCAGCTGTAGGTGAGCCCGCGCCGGGGCGGGGTTTCCAGCAGCACCAGCAGCTGGTAGGTCCAGTCCCCGTTGGGGACCACGTCGGTGGCCACCACGTGCTCCGAGAGCTCCTGCTGGCCCTGGAACCACCTCACCTGGATGGCAGCAGGGTAGAAATCCATCACGGAGCAGAGCAGGCGGCCGGGGCCCGGCTGGGAGCTCGAGGGGGGCACCAGCGAGATGGACACGCTGGGGGCACTGGGAGAGAGAGAGAGAGAGAGAGCGGGGACACACTGGATCAGCTGGGGGGCACTGGGAGAGAGAGGGGAGGGCTGGGCTGGGCTGGGGAGGGACTGGGAATGGACTGGGAGGGACTGGGGATGGATTGGGAATGGACTGGGAGGGAATGGAAGGGACTGGGAAGGTTTTTGAGGGAATGGGAGTGGACTGGAAATGGACTGGGATGGACTGGGAATAGACTGGGAGGGACTGGGTGTAGACTGGGAGAGAGTTGGGCGGTGCTGAGAGAGGCAGGAGGAGATGGGGGGCACTGGAAGAGAGGGTGGAGGTCTGGGAGTGAACTGAGAATAGACTGGGATGGACTGGGATGGACTGGAATGGACTGGGAGGGAATGGGAATGGACTGGGAATGGACGGGGTTGGACTGGGATGGACTGGGATTTCTTGGGTTGGCACTGAGAGAGATGGGAGGGGATGGGGGGAACCGGCAGAGAGGGTGGAGTTTTGAGAGTGAACTGGGAATGAACTGGGAAGAGACTGGGAATGGACTGGGAGGGACTGGGATGGAATGGGAGGGAATGGAGAAACTGGGAATGGACTGGGAGGGAGTGGGGAGGAATTGGAGATGGCCTTGGAGGGACTGGGATGGACTGGGAGGAACTGGGAATGGAGGGCGCGGCGCTGCGAGGCCGAGTCCAGCGCGGGGCTCTCGGCGCTGCGGGTCTGCCTGGCAACAGGGGAGTCACCAGAGAGACGCGATCTGATTGGCTGAGAAGCGTCAGCGTTACGCGTCGCTGAAATGGACGCGATGGGGGCCACTGGGAGGGGACTGGGGTGGACTGGGATGGATTGGGATAAACTGGGAGGGGCTGGGACTGGACACGGACGGATTGGGAGGGACTGGGAATGGACTGGGACGGATGGGGACTGTAATGGGAATGGGCTGAATATGAGTGGGAAGGAACAAGGCGGGGCTGGGAATGAACAGGGATGGACTGGGAAAGGACTAGGAGCGACTGGGAATGAACTGGGATGGACTGGGTGGAACCGGGGTGGCACTGAGAGATGTGGGAGGGGAATGGGGGTACTGTGAGAGTGGGTGGAGATCTGAGAGCGAACTGGGAATGAACTGGGAATCGACTGGGAACTGAGTTGGAGGGACTGGGTGGGACTGGGATGGACTGGGAGGGACTGGGAAGGACAGGAGGGGAACTGAGAAAGATGGGAGGGAAACTCGGCACTGGGAGAGAGGGTGGAAGTTGGAGAGGGAACTGGGATTGAACTGGGAATGGACTGGGAGGGACTGAGATGGACTGGGAATGACTGGGAATGGACTGGGAGGGATTGGGATGAACTGGGAATGGACTGGGAGGGGTTGGGAGGGAGTGGGAGGCATTGGGAATGGGCTCGAAGGGGACTGGGAATGGACTGGGAGGGACTGGTGGGGACTGGGATTGACTGGGATGGGCACTGGCAGGGCAGGGCCCGAGGGCACACGCTCTGCCCCGCGCTCACCTCGGCGCTCCGTGATGAACGGGCGGGACACCTCGTAGTTGTACCGGCAGTACGTGTCCACTCGAGCCCGTCTGTCCTCCATTATGGCCGGGTCGCTGTTCCAGCTCTTGGCAAGCCTCTCCCCATAGGGGGTGAACCCCACGAAGTGCCCCACGTCGCTGTCGAACATCACGTCCTGCATCCGGTTGTAGATGTACCTCTCCACCAACCTCACCTTCTCCGTGCCGTTAATGAAGTAACACTCAGCCTTTTGCAGGTTCACGAACACCCCTGTGAGTGCCGGACACAGCTCAGCGGTGCCCCCCCAGCACCCCCAGAGCTCCGGGGCCCACCCCGGATCCCCGCCCCGCACCCCCTGTGCCCCACGGCCGCCACGGGACCCTCCTGCCCGCGCTGCCGCTTCCTCTTTGCCGCCCTTCCCCCATTTCCCCTTCCGCATCCTCTCCCCTCCCACCTCCATCCCCTCCCGATAAGATTTTTGAGCTCCCATTTCCCCCATTTTGCCCCTTTTCCACTCTTTTAAAGAAATCCCCCAATCCCCAGCCCCCTCCCGCTCAGTTTTGGGGTCCCCCCGTCCCCTTTTCCCCCTTCTCCCGCCCTGTCCCAGCGCCTCCCGCCCCCGCTCACCCGAGAGCTCCGCGCCCGCAGCCGGGGGGGCTCCCAGCACCACCAGTGCCACCAGTAGGGCCCCGGCTGCCGCCCCTCGCCCCATGGCCGGCGACCTCCACCCCAAACCGACCGCGCCCAACTGCGAGAACCAGCCCGGAGCAGCGCGGGGTCATGAGGGACGCGCTCCCTGATTGGTCGGGCGTGGTTTTTGGCCGCGCTTTCATTGGTTGTGGTTTTTTTGGGGCTCGCTCTCATTGGGCGCAGTGATTTTTGCGCTCTGTAATTGGCCGGTTCCGTTGGGAGCCCGATTTCCAGAGGCTCTACCCAGCACCTGAGGCGTCATTTCCGCTCCTTTTTCTGATTGGCCGGAATTTCTTAGGGAGCTCAAGTTCTGAACGCTCTCCCCGGCAACACGTGACGCGCCATACACCCCGCTCTCCATTGGCTGAGCGCTTTTTGGGGTGCTGCTCCCCCGTTCCCAGTGCCCCCAGTTCGGATCCGCGTTCCTGGCAGCAGCACCGACCCTTCCCGGTGTGCCCGGAGCGCCATGGACGGAGCGCGGAGCCTCCCCCGGCTGCTGCCGCTGCTGGCCCTGACCCTGACCCCGATTCTGGGGGTCCAAGGTGGGGTTTTGGGGGGGTCCCGGCTTTGGGGTTCGCTGGGATTTTGGGAGTTCTGGGAATTAAGGGGTTAATGGGATCCATCCCCATTTTTGGGGATTTTTTGGGTGATTTTTGTGGGATTTTTTTCCTGTTTTTCCCGCCCTTTTTTCACGGTTTAGGGGGGTTGGGTGTGGCCGAATCCGTCTTTTTTCGGGATTTTGGGGCTCTGGATGTTCCTAAACCCTCTTGTCCTCGCGATTTTGGGGCTTGGAGTGGCCAGACCCCCCTGTTCAATGGATTTTGGGGGGGTTGGGCGTGACCAGACCCCCCTGTACACAAAATTTGGGGGGGCTGGATGTGCCCAAATCCCTTTTTTCCCAGGTTTTTTGGGATCTGGAAGTGCCCAAACCCCCTTGTCCAAGGGGTTTTGGGGGGTTGGGAGTGCCCAAACCCCCCTGTACACGAAATTTGGGGGGTTGGGAGTGCCCAAACCCCCCTGTACACAAAATTTGGGGGGGTTGGGAGTGCCCAAACCCCCCTGTACACGAAATTTGGGGAACTCAACGTTCCCAAATCCTCTCTTTCTAGGATTTTAGGAGTCTGGATGTTCCTAAACCCCCTTGTCCAAGGGATTTTGGGGGTGTTGGGCGTGGCCAGACCCCCCTGTACATAAAATTTGGGGAACTCAACGTTCCCAAATCCTCTTTTCCCAGGATTTTGGGGCTCTGGAAGTGCCTAAATCCCCTTTTTTCCCAGCATTTTTGGAGTCTGGGAGTGCCCAAACCCCCCTGTACACAAAATCTGGGGAACTGAAAATTCCCAATTCCTCTTTTCCCAGGATTTTTGGGAGTCTGGACGTTCCTAAACCCCCTTGTCCAAGGGATTTTGGAGTCTGGGGGTGCCCAAACCCCCCTGTACACAAAATTTGGGGAACTGAAAATTCCCAAATCCTCTTTTTTCCAGGACTTTGGGTCTCAATGTTCCTAAACCCCCTTGTCCAAGGGATTTTGGGGGGGTTGGGCGTGGCCAGACCCCCCTGTACATAAAATTTGGGGAACTCAAGGTTCCCAAATCCTCTTTTCCCGGGAATTTTGGGGCTCTGGAAGTGCCTAAATCCCCTTTTTTCCCAGCATTTTTGGAGTCTGGGAGTGCCCAAATCCCCCTGGACCCAAAATTTGGGGAACTGGGGTTTCTCACATCCTCTTTTCATGGGATTTTGACGATCTGGAAGTGCCTAAATCCCTTTTTTTCCCAGGACTTTTGAGCTCTAGATGTTCCCAAACCCCCCCCGTCCCCAAAATTTAGGGAACTGGGAGTTCCCAAATCCTCTTTTCCAAGGATTTTGACGATCTGGAAGTGGAAGTGCCTAAATCCCCTTTTTTTTTTTTTTTTTTTTCAGAATTTTGGAGTTCTAGACGTTCCTAAATCCCTTTTTTCCCAGGATTTTGGGGATCTGGGGGTGCCCAAACCCCCCTGGCCCCAAAATCTGGGGAACTCAAGGTTCCCAAATCCTCTTTTCCCGGGAATTTTGGGGCTCTGGAAGTGCCTAAATCCCTTTTTTTCCAGGGATTTTTGGGTGTCTGGATGTTCCTAAACCCCCTTGTCCAAGGGATTTTGGGGATCTGGGGGTGCCCAAACCCCCCTGACCCAAAATTTGGGACTCTCAAGGTTCCTAAATCCCTTTTTTTCCAGCAATTTTGGAGTCTGAAGGTGCCCAAATCCCCCTGGACCCAAAATTTGGGGAACTGGGGTTTTTCACATCCTCTTTTCATGGGATTTTGACGATCTGCAAGTGCCTAAATCCCTTTTTTTCAGAATTTTGGAGATCTAGAAGTTCCTAAATCCCTTTTTTCCAGGATTTTTGGGCTCTGGAAGTGCCTAAATCCCTTTTTTTCCTCACAATTTTGGGCTCTGGAAGTGCCTAAATCCCAATTTCCCGGGATTTTGGGACTCTCAGTGTCCTCAGCCCCAAATTTGCTGAGATTTTGAGTAAAAATTCGCAATTTTGGGGGAATTTTGAGCGAAAATCTCGAATTTTCCTGGGATTTTGAGGAATCCCCAAATTTTCCTGGAATTTTGAGTAAAAAATCCCCAATTTTCCTGGAATTCTGAGCAGAAATTCCCAATTTTCCCAGGATTTTCCCCCAAATTTCTGGGATTTTGAGTAGAAATCCAAATTTCCCCACGATTTTGAGCAAAAATCCCCAATTTTACCAGGATTTTCCCCCATTTTTGGGGGATTTTGAGTAGAAATCCCCAATTTTCTGGAATTTTAAGCAGAAATTTCCAATTTTCCCAGGATTTTGAGCAAAAATCCCCAATTTTCCTGTGATTTTACGAATTCCCAAATTTCAATGCATTTTGAGTATAAATTTCCTTTTTTTCCCGGGTATTTTTATTGAAATCCCCAAATTTTCCTGGAATTTCGAGCAGAATCTCCAATTTCCTTGGGAATTTTTGTAATTTTCCTGGGATTTTGATCAAAAATCTCCCATTTCCCTGGGATTTTGCCCAAATTTTCTGGGATTTCGATCAAAAATCTCCAATTTTCTGGGATTTTGACCAAAAATCTCCAATTTTGGGGGGGTTTTGAGCAGAAATCCCAATTTTGAATGGAAATCCCGATTTTTCTGGGATTTAAGCACAGATCCCCAATTTTCATTTTTCATGGAATTTTCCCCCCCATTTTTTTGAGATTTTGAGTGGAAATCCCAAATTTTCCTGGAATTTTGAGTAGAAATTCAAATTTCCCTAGGATTTGAGTAGGAATCCTCAATTTTCTTGGATTTTGATAGGAAATCCCCATTTTTTTTTGGTTTAAATTTAAGAATTCCCATATTTTCTGTGAATGTTGAGCAGAAATCCCAATTTTGAATGGAAATCCCGATTTTTTTGGAATTTGAAGCACACAAATCCCCAATTTTCATTTTTCATGGAATTTTCCCCCCCATTTTTTTGAGATTTTGAGTGGAAATCCCAAATTTTCCAGGAATTTTGAGCGTAAATCCTCCAAATTTCCTGGGATTTCGAGCAGAAATCTCCGATTTCCTTGGGAATTTTTTCATATTTTCCAGTGATTTTTTTCCTTGTATTTTAATGGAAATTCCCAAATTTTCCTGGGATTTTGAGTATAAATTCCCAATTTTATTTTCTGGTATTTTAATAGGAATCCTCAATTTATTTTTTTTTTTAATTTTTTTTTTTTTTTAATTTTGTAATTTTGACTCGAAATCCCCAATTTCACTGGAATTTTCAGCAGAAATCCCAAATTTTCTTGGAATTATCCCCCAGAATTTTGAGTAGAATTTCCCTGAGATTTCGATCAAAAATCTCCAATTTTCTTGGGATTCTGACCAAAAATCCCCAATTTGCCCAGGATTTTAAGTAGAAATCCCCAATTTTCTTGGAATTTTGAGCAAAAAATCTTTCCAATTTTCATGGAATTTTGAGCGTACATCCTCCAAATTTCCTGGAATTTCAAGCAGAAATCTCCAATTTCCTTGGAATTTTTTCATAATTTTCCAGTGATTTTTTTCCTTGTATTTTAATAGAAATCCCCAATTTCTCCTGGGATTTTGAGTATAAATTCCCAATTTTATTTTCTGGTATTTTAATAGGAAGCCAAATTTTTTTTTTTTTTAATTTTTTTTTTTTTTTAATTTGTAATTTTGACTTGAAATCCCCAATTTCACTGGAATTTTCAGCAGAAATCCCAAATTTTCTTGGAATTATCCCCCGATTTCCCCCAGAATTTTGAGTCGAATTTCCCTGGGATTTCGATCAAAAATCTCCAATTTTCTTGGGATTCTGACCAAAAAAAATCCCCAATTTCCCCAGGATTTAAAGTAGAAATCCCCAATTTTCTTGGAATTTTGAGCAAAAATCTCTCCAATTTTCTTGGTATTTTGAGCGTACATCCTCCAAATTTCCTGGAATTTCGAGCAGAAATCTCCGATTTCCTTGGGAATTTTTTCATAATTTTCCAGTGATTTTTTCCTTGTATTTTAATAGAAATCCCCAATTTCTCCTGGGATTTTGAGTATAAATTCCCAATTTTATTTTCTGGTATTAAATTTTCTTGGAATTATCCCCCGATTTCCCCCAGAATTTTGAGTCGAATTTCCCTGGGATTTCGATCAAAAATCTCCAATTTTCTTGGGATTCTGACCAAAAAAATCTCCAATTTTCCCCAAGATTTTAAGTAGAAATCCCCAAATTTTCTTGGAATTTTGAGCGTACATCCTCCAAATTTCCTGGGATTTCGAGCAGAAATCTCCAATTTCCTTGGGAATTTTTTCATAATCTTGCGGCGATTTTGACCAAAAATCTCCATTTTCCATGGGATTTTAACTACAAATCCATTTTTTTTTAAATTTTAACCAAAAAAACCCCTTTTTTCCCCCACTTCCCAGTCCAGCACAGCATCATCCAGACGGAATTCTACCAGAAATCCCTGAGCCCCGGCGTCCCCGACAGCGACGAGTTCATGTTCGACTTTGACGGCGACGAGATTTTCCACGTGGAGAAGGAGGAGACGATCTGGAGGCTGCCCGAGTTCCAGGAGTTCGCCAGCTTCGAGGCGCAGGGCGCGCTGCAGAACATCGCCATCGACAAGCAGAACCTGGAGAACTCCATGGCCGCCTACAACCGCTCCCGCACCCCCAGCGGTAACAGCGCCGGGAGGGGGAGATCGGGGAGGGAGGAGGTTCTGGAAGGTTCTCTGGGAAATTCGGGGGGTTTGGGAGGGGGTTTGGGGGGTTTGAAGGAAGTTTAGGGGGTTTAAAGGCAAATTTGGGGGATGTCCAAGCTCAGTTCTAGAAGGTTCCTGGTGGGATTCCAAACTTTGGTGTCGCTCAAACCCAATCCCAGTTGGATCCACTCCAATTTCAGGAGATTTTAACCCAATCCCAGTTGGTTCCACCCAATCCCAGTTGGTTCCACCCAATCCCAGTTGCATCCAAACCAATTTCAGGAGATTTTAACCCAATCCCAGTTGGATCCACCCAATCCCAGTTGGATCCATCCCAATTCCAGTTGGATCCACCACAATCCCAGCTGGTCCGACCCAATTCCAGAGGATTTCAACCCAATTTTAGGGACATCCATCTCCAATTCCAGAAGGTTCCTGGTGGAACCCCAAACTTTGGTGTCCCTCAAACCCAACCCCAGTTGGATGCACCCAATCCCAGTTGGATGCACCCAATCCCAGTTGGATGCACCCCAATTTCAGGAGATTTTAACCCAATCCCAGTTGGTTCCACCCAATCCCAGCTGGATCCACCCCAATTCCAGAGGATTTCAACCCAATTCCAGAGGATTTCAACCCAATTTTAAGGACAACCAACCCCAATTCCAGAAGGTTCCTGGTGGGATTCCAAACTTTGGTGTTCCTCAAACCCAACCCCAGTTGGTTCCACCCCAATTTCAGGAGATTTTGACCCAATCCCAGTTGGATCCAACCCAATCCCAGTTGGATCCACCTCAATCCCAGTTGGGTTTGACCCAATCCCAGTTGGATCCACCTCAATCCCAATTGGATCCAAACCAATTTCAGTTGGATCCCATCCAATATCAGAGGATTTCAACCCAAATTCCAGAAGGTTCCTGGTGGAACCCCAAACTTTGGTGTCCCTCAAACTCAACCCCAGTTGAATCCACCTCAACCCCAGTTGGATCCACTTCAATCCCAGTTGGATCCAAACCAATTTCAGGAGATTTTAACCCAATCCCAGTTGGTTCCACCTCAATCCCAGTTGGATCCATCCCAATCCCAGCTGGTCTGACCCAAATCCAGAGGATTTCAACTTAATTTTAAGGACGACCAACCCCAATTCTAGAAGGTTCCTGGTGGAACCCCAAACTTTGGTGTCCCTCAAACCCAATCCCAGTTGGATCCATCCCAATCCCAGTTGGATCCGCCCCAATTTCAGGAGATTTTAACCCAATCCCAGTTGGTTCCACCCAATCCCAGTTGGATCCACCCAATCCCAGTTGGTCTGACCCAAATCCAGAGGATTTCAACCCAATTTTAGGGACATCCAACCCCAATTCCAGAAGGTTCCTGGTGGAACTCCAAACTTTGGTGTCCCTCAAACCCAATTCCAGTTGGATCCACCCCAATCCCAGTTGGTTCCACCCAATCCCAGCTGGATCAACCCAATCCCAGTTGGATCCACCCCAATTTCAGGAGATTTTAACCCAATCCCAGTTGGTTCCACCCCAATTTCAGGAGATTTTAACCCAATCCCAGTTGGATCCAACCCAATCCCAGCTGGATCCATCCCAATCCCAGTTGGATCAACCCAATCCCAGTTGGATCCACCCCAATTTCAGGAGATTTTAACCCAATCCCAGTTGGTTCCACCCAATCCCAGTTGGATCCACCCAATCCCAATTGGGTTTGACCCAATCCCAGTTGGATCCACCTCAACCCCAGCTGGTTCCAACCCAATTTCACCCCAGTCCCAACTGGACGGATCCAATTTCTTCCCGAACCCACCCTGACCCAAAACTCACGGATTTTCCCCCGGATTTTTCGGGCATTCGCAGTGGCCCCGGAGGTGGCCGTGTTCCCCAAGCACCCGGTGGAGCAGGACGAGCCCAACATCCTCATCTGCTCGGTCACCAAGTTCTGGCCGCCGGTGCTGGGCCTGGTTTGGTTCCGGAACGGCGCCCGGGTCACCGAGGGCGTCCTGGAGACGCCGTTTTACCCCAATCCCAGTTGGATCCAACCCAATCCCAGTTGGATCCAACCCAATTCTGGGGACATCCAACCCAAATTCGAAACTTTGGTGTCCTTCAAACCCAACCCCAGTTGGTTCCACCTCAATCCCAGTTGGGTTTGACCCAATCCCAGTTGGTTCCACCTCAATCCCAATTGGCTCCAAACCAATTTCAGTTGGATCCCATCCAATATCAGAGCATTTCAACCCAAATTCCAGAAGGTTCCTGGTGGAACTCCAAACTTTGGTGTCCCTCAAACCCAATCCCAGTTGGATCCACCTCAGTCCCAGCTGGTTCCAACCCAATTTCATGAGATTTCAACCCAATCCCAGTTGGTTCCAACCCCAATTTTAGGGACATCCAACCCCAGTTCCAGAAGGTTCCTGGTGGAACCCCAAACTTTGGTGTCCCTCAAACCCAACCCCAGTTGGATCCATCCCAATCCCAGTTGGTTCCACCTCAATCCCAGTTGGTTCCAACCCCAATTTGAGGCTCTGGGTCTCACCCAATTTTAGGGGATTTCAACCCAATCCCAGTTGGGATTCCAAGAGAATTCCAAATTTTGGGTTCCACCAACCCAACCCCAGTTGGATCCACCTCAACCCCAGTTGGATCCATCCCAATCCCAGTTGGTCTGACCCAAATCCAGAGGATTTCAACTTAATTTTAAGGACATCCAACCCCAATTCCAGAAGGTTCCTGGTGGAACCCCAAACTTTGGTGTCCCTCAAACCCAATCCCAGCTGGATCCACCCCAATCCCAGCTGGTTCCACCCAATCCCAGTTGGTTCCACCCAATCCCAGTTGCATCCAAACCAATTTCAGGAGATTTCAACCCAATCCCAGCTGGTTCCACCTCAACCCCAGTTGGATCCACCTCAACCCCAGCTGGTTCCAACCCAATTTCAGGAGATTTTAACCCAATCCCAGTTGGATCCATCCCAATCCCTGTTGGATCCACCTCAATCCCAGTTGGATCCACCTCAATCCCAGTTGGATCCATCCCAATTTCAGGAGATTTTAACCCAATCCCAGTTGGATCCACCTCAACCCCAGCTGGTTCCAACCCAATTTCACGCGATTTCACCCCAAATCCCAACCGCACGGATCCAATTTCTTCCCGAACCCACCCTGACCCAAAACTCACGGATTTTCCCCCGGATTTTTGCGGCCTTGGCAGTGGCCCCGGAGGTGGCCGTGTTCCCCAAGCACCCGGTGGAGCAGGACGAGCCCAACATCCTCATCTGCTCGGTCACCAAGTTCTGGCCGCCGGTGCTGGGCCTGGTTTGGTTCCGGAACGGCGCCCGGGTCACCGAGGGCGTCCTGGAGACGCCGTTTTACCCCGACCGCGACTTCTCCTTCCGCAAGTTCTCCTACCTGCCCTTCATCCCCGAGCCCGGCGACTACTACGACTGCAAGGTGGAGCACGAGGGGCTGGAGAAGCCCACCAAGACGCATTGGGGTGAGATTTGGGGATTTTGGGAAAAAAAAGGGGTTTTTTTGGGGGAAAAAATGGGATTTTTGGGGAAAAAAATACGGGATATTTAGGAAAAAATGGGATTTTTTGGATGTGGGAAGTTGGGGGTTTGGGGTTATTACGACTGCAAGGTGGAGCACGAGGGGCTGGAGAAGCCCACCAAGACGCATTGGGGTGAGATTTGGGGATTTTTGGGAAAAAAAAAGGGTTTTTTTTTGGAGGAAAAAATAGGATTTTTTAGGAGAATTTGGATTTGGGGTTATTATTATTGTAAGGTGGAGCACGAGGGGCTGGAGGCTCCCACCAAGACGCATTGGGGTGAGATTTGGGGTTTTTGGGAAAAAGAATTATGGGGTTTTTGGGGAAAAATGGGTTTTTTTGGGAAAAAAATGGGATTTTTTGGGAGAATTTGGATTTAGGATTTGGGGTTATTATGATTGTAAGATGGAGCACGAGGGGCTGGAGGAGCCCAGCAAGATGCATTGGGGTGAGATTTGGGGTTTTTGGGATTTTTGGGAAAAAAAAGGGGTTTTTTTTGGGGGAAAAAATGGGATTTTTGGGAGAATTTCGATTTGGGATTTGGGGTTATTACGATTGTAAGGTGGAGCACGAGGGGCTGGAGGTGCCCACCAAGATGCATTGGGGTGAGATTTGGGGATTTTGGGTAATAATGGGACTTTTTTGGGGGAAAATGGGAATTTTTGGGAAAAAAAAATACGGCGTTCTTAGGAAAAAATGGGATTTTTGGGAGAATTTGGATTTGGGGTTATTATGATTGTAAGGTCGAGCACAAGGGGCTGGAGGCGCCCATCAAGACACACTGGGGTGAGATTTGGGGATTTTGGGATTTTTGGGGAAAAAAAATGGGGTTTTTTTGGGAAAAATGGTTTTTTTTGGGGAAAAAATGGGATTTTTGGGAGAATTTGGATTTGGGATTTGGGGTTATTACAACTGCAAGGTGGAGCACGAGGGGCTGGAGAAGCCCACCAAGACGCATTGGGGTGAGATTTGGGGATTTTGGGAAATAATGGGATTTTTTGGGGGGGAAAATGGGAATTTTTGGGAAAAAAAATACGGCGTTTTTAGGAAAAAATGGGATTTTTGGGACGTGGGAACTTGGGGGTTTGGGGTTATTACGACTTCAAGGTGGAGCACGAGGGGCTGGAGAAGCCCAGCAAGATGCATTGGGGTGAGATTTGGGATTTTTGGGAAATAATGGGATTTTTTTGGGGGAAAAAATGGGAATTTTGGGGAAAAAAATACGGCATATTTAGGAAAAAAATGGGATTTTTGGGAGAATTTGGATTTGGGATTTGGGGTTATTACGACTGCAAGGTGGAGCACAAGGGGCTGGAGGCGCCCACCAAGACACACAGGGGTGAGATTTGGGGTTTTTGGGATTTTTGGGGAAAAAAATATTATGGGGTTTTTGGGGAAAAATGGGTTTTTTGGGGAAAAAATGGGATTTTTGGGAGAATTTGGATTTGGGGTTATTATGATTGTAAGGTGGAGCACGAGGGGCTGGAGGCGCCCACCAAGACTCATTGGGGTGAGATTTGGGGTTTTTGGGATTTTTGGGGGAAAAAAAGGGTTTTTTGGGGAAAAAAATGGGATTTTTGGGAGAATTTGGATTTGGGGTTATTACGACTGCAAGGTGGAGCACGAGGCGCTGGAGGAGCCCACCAAGACGCATTGGGGTGAGATTTGGGGTTTTTGGGATTTTTGGGGAAAAAAAATGGGGTTTTTTTGGGGAAAAAAAAGGGATTTTTGGGAGAATTTGGATTTGGGGTTGTTATTATTGTAAGGTGGAGCACAAGGGGCTGGAGGCGCCCACCAAGACGCATTGGGGTGAGATTTGGGGATTTTGGGAAATAATGGGACTTTTTTGGGGGAAAAAATGGGATTTTTGGGGAAAAAAATACGGCATATTTAGGAAAAAATGGGATTTTTGGGAGAATTTGGATTTAGGATTTGGGGTTATTATTATTGTAAGGTGGAGCACGAGGGGCTGAAGGCGCCCACCAAGACGCATTGGGGTGAGATTTGGGGTTTTTGGGAAATAATGGGATTTTTTGGGGGGAAAATGGGAATTTTTGGGAAAAAAAAATACGGCGTTTTTAGGAAAAAATGGGATTTTTGGGAGAATTTGGATTTAGGATTTGGGGTTATTACGATTGTAAGGTGGAGCACGAGGGGCTGGAGGAGCCCAGCAAGACGCATTGGGGTGAGATTTGGGGATTTTGGGAAAAAAAAAGGGGTTTTTTTGGGGAAAAAATGGGATTTTTGGGAGAATTTGGATTTGGGGTTGTTATTATTGTAAGGTGGAGCACGAGGGGCTGGAGGAGCCCAGCAAGATGCATTGGGGTGAGATTTGGGGTTTTTGGGATTTTTGGGGAAAAAATATTATGGGGTTTTTGGGAAAAAATGGGTTTTTTTGGGGAAAAAATGGGATTTTTGGGAGAATTTGGATTTAGGATTTGGGGTTATTATGATTGTAAGGTGGAGCATGAGGGGCTGAAGGCGCCCACCAAGACGCATTGGGGTGAGATTTGGGGATTTTGGGAAATCATGGGATTTTTTTGGGGGGAAAATGGGAATTTTGGGAAAAAAAAAATGCAGCGTTTTTAGGAAAAAATGGGATTTTTTTGGATGTGGGAAGTTGGGGATTTGGGGTTATTACGACTGTAAGGTGGAGCATGAGGGGCTGGAAGTGCCCAGCAAGACGCATTGGGGCGAGATTTGGGAATTTTGGGAAAAAATATTATGGGGTTTTTGGGGAAAAATGGGTTTTTTGGGGAAAAAAAATGGGATTTTTTAGGAGAATTTGGATTTGGGGTTATTATTACTGCAAGGTGGAGCACGAGGGGCTGGAGGCGCCCAGCAAGACGCATTGGGGTGAGATTTGGGGTTTTTGGGAAATAATGGGATTTTTTTGGGGGGAAAAAATGGGAATTTTGGGGAAAAAAAATACGGCGTTTTTAGGAAAAAATGGGATTTTTGGGAGAATTTGGATTTGGAATTTGGGGTTATTATGATTGTAAGGTTGAGCACAAGGGGCTGGAGGCGCCCATCAAGACACACTGGGGTGAGATTTGGGGTTTTTGGGATTTTTGGGAAAAAAAAGGGTTTTTTTTGGGGAAAAAATGGGATTTTTTGGGAGAATTTGGATTTAGGATTTGGGGTTATTATGATTGTAAGGTGGAGCATGAGGGGCTGGAGGCGCCCACCAAGACGCATTGGGGTGAGAGTTGGGGTTTTTGGGAAAAAAAAAGGGGGTTTTTTGGGGAAAAAAATGGGATTTTTGGGAAAACAATTTGGCATTTTTGGGATTTGGGGTGGAAATTGTGGGAGTTGGGATTTGGGATGATTTGGATTGGGAAAATTGGGATTTAGGGTGGAAATCGTGGAATTTAGGATAATTTGGATTTAGGATAATCTGGATTTGGCAAAATTGGGATTTGGGGTGGAAATCGTGGAATTTAGGATAATTTGGATTTGGGAAAATTGGGATGTGGGAAAATTGGGATTTGAGATAATTAGGGTGTGGGATAATTGGCATTTGGGATAATTGAGATTTGGGATAATTTGGGTGTGGGATAATTTGGATTTAGGGTATTTTGGATTTGGGATAATCTGGATTTGGGAAAATTGGGATTTGGGGTGGAAATTGTGGAATTTAGGATAATTTGGATGTGGGATAATTTGGATTTGGAATAACTGGGATTTGGGATAATTTGGGTGTGGGATAGTTGGGATTTGGGAAAATTGGGATTTGGAATCATTTGGATTTGGGAAAATTGGGATTTAGGGTGAAAATTGCGGGATTTGGGACAGGAAACAATTCGGGAAGAGGAAGAATTTGGGAACTTTGGGATGAAGATGAGGACGAAGAAAAACTTGTGATCCCCTAAACGTTGGGAATTGTGGATTTTTCCAGAACCCCAAATCCAGGCGCCGGCCTCCGAGGCCACGGAGACGGCGATTTGTGCCCTGGGCTTGGCCGTGGGCATCGTGGGCATCGCCGCCGGCACCATCCTCATCATCCGCGGGATGAAGCTCGGCCGCGCCCGCACCGAGCGCGGCACGCTCTGAGAAACCCAAAACCCTGCAAAACCACCCCAAAATCCAGCCCCAAAGCCCGTGGAATTACCCCAAAACCCCATGGAATTACCCCAAAGTCTTCCCTGAGATACCATGGAATTGCCCCCAAAATCCTCTGAAATGCAACCCCAAAATCCAGCCCCAAATGCCCTGGAACTGCCCCAAAATCTCTCCTGGAATTCTGCAGAATTGTCCTGAAATCTGTCTCAAAATCCCGTCTGAAATCCCACAAAACGACCCCAAAATCCAGCCCCAAACACCATGAAAAGACCCCAAAATCCTACCCCAAATCCTTCTCCAAATCCAGCCCCAAATGCCACAAAATGACCCCAAAATCCAGCCCCAAACCCAGCCTGAAATGCCACAAAATGATCCCAAAATCCAGCCCTAAATCCCACTAAATTGCCCCAAAATCCAGCCCCAAATCCCGTGGAATTACCCCAAAGTCTTCCCTGAGATACCATGGAATTGCCCCCAAAATCCTCTGAAATGCAACCCCAAAATCCAGCCCCAAATGCCCTGGAACTGCCCCAAAATCTACCCTGGAATTCTGCAGAATTGTCCTGAAATCTGTCTCAAAATCCCGTCTGAAATGCCACAAAACGACCCCAAAATCCAGCCCAAAATACCATGAAAAGACCTCAAAATCCTACCCCAAATCCTTCTCCAAATCCAGCCCCAAATGCCACAAAATGACCCCAAAATCCAGCCCCAAATACCATGAAAAACCCCAAAATCCTACCCCAAATCCTTCTCCAAATCCAGCCCCAAATCCCACAAAATGAGCCCAAAATCCAGCCCCAAACCCAGCCTGAAATGCCACAAAATGATCCCAAAATCCAGCCCTAAATCCCACTAAATTGCCCCAAAATCCAGCCCCAAATCCCGCAAAATGACCCCAAAATCCAGCCCCAAAGCCCGTGGAATTACCCCAAAGTCTTCCCTGAGATACCATGGAATTGCCCCCAAAATCCCCTGAAATGCAACCCCAAAATCCAGTCCCAAATCCCCTGGAACTGCCCCAAAATCTCTCCTGGAATTCTGCAGAATTGTCCTGAAATCTGTCTCAAAATCCCGTCTGAAATGCCACAAAATGAGCCCAAAATCCAGCCCCAAATACCATGAAAAGACCCCAAAATCCTACCCCAAATCCTTCTCCAAATCCAGCCCCAAATCCCACAAAATGACCCCAAAATCCAGCCCCAAACCCAGCCTGAAATGCCACAAAATGATCCCAAAATCCAGCCCTAAATCCCACTAAATTGCCCCAAAATCCAGCCCCAAAACCCACAAAATGACCCCAAAATCCAGCCCCAAATCCAGCCTGAAATGCCACAAAATGACCCCAAAATCCAGCCCCAAATCCCGTGGAATTACCCCAAAGTCTTCCGTGAAATACCATGGAATTGCTCCCAAAATCCTCTGAAATGCAACCCCAAAATCCAGCCCCAAATGCCCTGGAACTGCCCCAAAATCTCTCCTGGAATTCTGCAGAATTGTCCTGAAATCTGTCTCAAAATCCCGTCTGAAATCCCACAAAACGACCCCAAAATCCAGCCCCAAATACCATGAAAAGACCCCAAAATCCTACCCCAAATCCTTCTCCAAATCCAGCCCTAAATGCCACAAAATGAGCCCAAAATCCAGCCCCAAACCCAGCCTGAAATGCCACAAAATGATCCCAAAATCCAGCCCTAAATCCCACTAAATTGCCCCAAAATCCAGCCCCAAATCCCACTAAATTGCCCCAAAATCCAGCCCTAAATGCCACAAAATGACCCCAAAATCCAGCCCCAAATCCAGCCTAAAATCCCATGGAACTGCCCCAAAATCCAGCCTCAAAATCCCATGAAATTACCCCAAAATCCAGCTCTAAATCCAGCCCCAAATCCCACAAAGTGACCCCAAAATGCAGCCCCAAATACCACAATATGACCCCAAAATCCAGCCTGAAATCCAGCCCCAAATCCCACAGAATTGCCCCAAAATCCAGCCCCAAAATCTCATGAAATGACCCCAAAATCCAGCCCCAAATCCTACACAAAGACTCCAAAATCCACCCCCAAATCCAGCCTGAAATGCCACAAAATGACCCCAAAATCCAGCCTGAAATCACCCCAAAATCCCACAAAATTACCCTGAAATCCAGCCCCAAAATCCCATAAAATTACCCCAAAATCCAGACCCAAATCCCACCTGAAATCCTGTGGAATTGCCCCAAAATACAGACTGAAATCCTGTAAAATTACCCCAAAATCTGTCCAAAATCCCATGAAATGACCCCAAAATCCTCCCCCAAATCCCGCCTGAAATCCCGTGGAAGTGCCCCAAAATCCAGCCCCAAATCCCACAAAATTACCCCAAAATTCAGCCCCAAATCCCACAAAATGACCCCAAAATACAGCCCCAAATCCAGCCCAAAATCCCACAAAATAACCCCAAAATCCAGTCCCAAATCCGGTGCAATTACCCCAAAATCTGTCCCAAAACCCCCTTGAAACTCCTTGAAAATTTTACCGAAATTACCCCAAAAACTCTTTAAAATTCCCCGTAAAATCTGCCCCAAATTCCTCAAATCCACTCGAAATTCCCTTAAAATCCCCAAAATATTCCATTAAAATCTACCAAAATGCCACTAAAATTCGCCCAAATTCCCCCCAAAATTCCACCAAAATCCCATTAAAATCCCCTCAAAATTTAAAAAAAAATCCATTAAAATCTCCTCAAAATTCCCTTAAAACCCTCAAAAATTCCCTTAAAATACCCCAAAATTCCCCTGAAATTTCCACCAAAATCCCCCCTAAAATTCCCTTAAAATTCCACCAAAATCCGCCAAAAAATCCCATTTAAATCAAAATATTTCCCAAAAATTCCCATGTCCCCACCCCCCACCCCTCCCGGAAGGTCCGTTTGACCTCCCCATCATGGCGGCACCGGAAGTGACCACAAAGAACAGGAGCCGCTCCCTTCGCCAGGGGCCGCTCTGTCCTCCATACTCTATGGTCAGTCCTCCAGCACCTCATTTTCCTCGAATTTTTCCCGTTTTTCACGATTTTTTTCCCAAATCCCCGTTTTGCATCCCCAAATATATTCCACGCACTCATCTCGTCGTCATCCTCACATTTTAATCCATCATGATTCGCTACGACGCCATCATTAGTGATAAAAAAACCCCTCCCACCCCCATCCCTCCAAATTCCCAAAAATCCCCCAAAATCCCCCATCTAAACCCCAAATCTCCCATTTTTTTCATGCTTTCAACCCCAAATCTCTCCTTTTCCTCATGTTTTGAACCCCAAATCTCTCATGTTTCTCTCGATTTGGTCCCAAAATGGGATAGACTTAGCAACGGGCACCTCCCATTTCGCACAGGGCGGAGGGGGGGAGCCAAGCGAAATTTGGGCTTTTTGGGTTTTTTGAGGAATTTTGGGAATTCCTACTCGTAGTAGGCGATGAGCAGCATCATGGCCACGCCAGCCAGCAGCGCCAGCAGCTGCAGCAGGGCCTGGCCGGGCCCGGAGTCCCTCAGGATTTCAGGCAGCACCGACACCGTCCCCAGGTAGATGAAGCCACCGGCCGTGAAGGGGAGGATCCCCGAAATGGCGCCAGTGCCGGAGCCCTCAGCCAACAATGAGCAGGCGGCACCCGCCAGGGCGGCCAAGGCGGTCAGGAGCTGCAGGAGCATGGCCTGGAAAGGATACTGGGGTTACTGGGATGGACTGGGATGAAGTGGGAAGGGGCGGGGCCTCACCCGAGCAGCTCTTTCTGCCCTCACAAAATGGCGGCACCGGAAAATGCACAAAATGGCGGCATAGAGTGGGTGGGTGAAGTGCCCACCACAAGGGGACACTCTGGCACTCCCAACTCTATGGCTGGTCCTCCAACAGCCCCTTTTTTGCTGATTTTTCCCACACTAAACCCTTTTATCCCCTTTTTTACCCCAATTTTTCCCTGAATTCCACGTGCAGTGGGACTGGGAGTGGAGTAATGTGGGTGAAGAGGGAACTGGGATGAACTGGTAAGGACTGGGAAGGGGTGGGGTCTCCCTCTCCTTTTCTGCCCTCACAAAATGACGGCACTGGAAGTGACCATAGAGTGGGTGATGTGCCTGCCACTAGGGGGTGCTCGGCCCACCCAACTCTATGGTTGGTTCTCCTCCTTTTACCCCCTTTTTTTCCACCCTAAACCCTTTAATCCCCTTTTTTTTAGCCCCGAATTCCATGTGCAGAGGAACTGGGAGCGGAGTAATGTGGGTGAAGAGGGAACTGGGATGAACTGGGAGGGACTGAGAGAGACTGGGAAGGGGCGGGGCGTCACCCTCATGGGGCCCTTTCAGCCCTCACAAAATGGCGGCACCGGAAGTGACCATAGAGGTGGCAGCCACATTGCCCACCACTAGGGGGCGCTCTGCCCGCCACACTCTATGGTTGGTCCTCCTTCTCTTACCCTCTTTTTTCTCCTCATTTTTCCTTTTTTTTTTCCCCACCCTAAACCCTTTTATCCCCTTTTGTTCCCCTGAATTCCACATGCAGAGGGACTGGGAGTGAGATAATGCAGGTGAAGAGAGAACTGGGATGAACTGGGAAGGGGCAGGGCCTCACCCTCACGGGGGCCTTTTCCGCCCTCACAAAATGGTGGCACCGGAAGTGATCATAGAGTCGGCGGCCGCACTGCCCGCCACTAGGGGGCGCTCTGGCCCTCCCACCACCCAAATCTATGGTCAGTCCTCCAACATCCCATTTTCCCCCAATTTTTCCCGATTTTCCCCCAGCTTTTTTCTCCAACCTGTCCCTTGGAGCAGCCGGCTCTGAGCAGCATGGCCATGTCCCCCAGCTCGTGGGGCAGCTCGTGCAGCAGCACCGACAGTGCCGTCAGCGTCCCCCGGGCGGGGCCTCCCCAAAACGCCGCCCCCAGCGCCAGCCCGTCCGTGAAGTTGTGGGCGGCGTCGGCCGCCAGGTTCAGGTAGCCAGAGGCTGCCATGGCTGTGGCAAAAGAGCCCAAAATTAGCCCGAAATTATCCCAAAGTTACCCCAAAACTGTCCTCAAATTCAGCTGAAAGTCACCTCTAATACATCCCAAATCAGTCCCAAAATCAGCACAAAGTCACCCCAAAATCGCCTCTAAAACACCCCAAAATTACCCCAAAATCAGCCCAAATTTATCCCCAAAATCGGCCCCAAAGTCACCCCAAAATCACCTATGAAGGACCCCAAAGTTAACCCAAAATCAGCCTCAATTTATCCCCAAAATCAGCCCAAATTTATCTCCAAAATGGTCCCAAAATCGGCCCAAAGTCACTCATAAAACACCCAAAAGTTACCCCAAAATCAGCCCCAAATTATCCCAAAATCACCCCCAAAATCAGCCCTAAATTATCCCCAAAATAACCCCAAACCTGCCCCAAAGTCACCCCAAAATCATCTCAAATTTTCCCCTAAATCATCCCTAAAACATCCCAAAGTTACCCCAAAATTATCCCAATTTTACCCCTGAAGTCACCACAAAATCATCTCCAAAATCAGCCCAAGTCACCCCAAAATTACCTTCAAAGCCACCCTAAAATCATCCCAAAATAATCCCCAATGTCCCCAAATCCCTTCAAATGTCCCTCAATGTCCCCAAATACCCCCAAAGTCCTCAATGTCCCCAGTCCCCTCAATGTCCCCAAATCTCTCAAGGGTCCCCAAATCCCCCCATGTCCCAAATGTCCCCAAATGTCCCCAATGTCTCTAAATACCCCCAAAGTCCCCAAATCCCCCAATGTCCCCAGTCCCCCCAAATGTCCCCAAACTCCTCAATGTCCCCAAAGTCCCCAATCTCCATAAATGACCCCAATGTCCCTAAATCCCTTCAAATGTCCCCAAATTGCCCCAATGTCCCCAAATGCCCCCAATCTCCTCAATGTCCCCAAATGTCCCCAATGTCCCCAATCCCCCAAAGTCCCCAAACTCCTCAATGTCCCCAAACGTCCCCAATCCCCCCAATGTCCCCAAAAGTCCCCAATCTCCATAAATGTCCCCAATGTCCCTAAATCCCTTCAAATGTCCCTCAATGTCCCAATGTCCCAAATGTCCCTAAATCCCCTCAAATGTCCCCAAATGTCCCAATGTCCCCAATGTCCATAAATATCCCCAATGTCCCAAATGTCCCTAAATCCCCTCAAATGTCCCCAAATCCCCCCAAAGTCCCCAAAGTCCCCAAATGTCCCCAATCCCCCAATGTCCCCAAATTGTCCCCAATCTCCATATAAATGTCCTCAATGTCCTCAATGTCCCCAAATCCCCTCAAAGTCCCCAATGTCCCCAATCCCCCAAATACCCCAAAGTCCCCAAACTCCTCAATGTCCCCAAATCCACTCAAATGTCCCCAAATCCCTCAAAGTCCCCAATCCCCCCAATGTCCCCAAATGTCCCCAATCTCCATAAATATCCCCAATGTCCCCAAAGTCCCTAAATCCCCTCAAATGTCCCCAAATTGCCCCAATGTCCCCAAATGCCCCCAATCTCCTCAATGTCCCCAAATGTCCCCAATGTCCCCAAATCCCCTCAAAGTCCCCAAATGTCCCCAATGTCCCCAAATCCCCCCAATGTCCCCAAATGCCCCCAAATCCCCTCAAAGTCCCCAAATGTCCCCAATGTCCCCAAATCCCCTCAATGTCCCCAAATGTCCCCAATCCCCCAATGTCCCCATTCCCCAAATACCCCCAATGTCCTCAATGTCCCCGATGTACCCAAATGTCCCTCAATGTCCCCATTCCCCAAATATCCCCAATGTCCCCAAATGTCCCCAATCCCCCCAATGTCCCCAATCTCCATTAAATGTCCCAAATGTCCCTAAATCCCCTAAATGTCCCTCAATGTCCCCAAATCTCCCCAATCCCCCAAATACCCCCAAAGTCCTCAATGTCCCCAATGTCCCCAATCCCCTCAAATGTCCCCAAATGTCCCCAGTGTCCTCAATCCCCTCAAATCCCCCAAATGTCCCCAATCCCCTCAATGTCCCCAATCCCTTAAATGTCCCCAGTGTCCCCAATCTCCCAAAGTCCCCAAACTCCTCAATGTCCCCAAACGTCCCCAAAGTCCCCAAATCGCCCCAATGTCCCCAAATGTCCCCAATCTCCTCAATGTTCCCAATGTCCCCAAATGTCCCCAAATCCCCTCAAATGTCCCCAATCCCTCAATGTCCCCCAAATCCCCCAATGTCCCCATTCCCCAAATACCCCCAATGTCCTCAATATCCCCAATGTCCCTAAATCCCCTCAAATGTCCCCAAATCCCCTCAAAGTCCCCAATCCCCTCCTCACCTGCCCTCTCCCCGTCCGGGCCCTTCCTGTGCTGGCCCTTGGTGCCCTTGGTGGCTTTTGTCCCCTTGGTCCCCTTGGTGGCCTTGGTGGCCTTGGTGTCACCGTCGGCCTCGTCCTCGCTGGAGCTGTGCTTGGCCTTGGGGCCTGCGAGCCAAAAACCACAAAATTTCACCCAAAAATCGGCTCCAAAAATGGTCAAAGCTCACCCCAGAAAAGCAAAATTCCGGCAAAACCAGCGAAAATTCACAAAAAAAAAGTTATCACAGAAATTCCCCCAAATCCCCAAGTTTTTCCCCCAAATTCCCCCTAAAGCCGCATTTTTTCCCAAAATCCCCAAATCCCCATTTTTTCCCCCAAATTTCCCCCAAACCCCAATTTTTTTTCCCCAAATCCCCAATTTTTTTCCCCCAAATTTCACCCGAAATCCCCATTTTTTCCCAAAATCCCCAATTTTTTTCCCCCAAATCCCCGTTTTTTCCTGGTTTTGCCCAAAACCCTCATTTTTTCCCCCCCAAAACCCCCATTTTTTTCCATCAGAAAAACCCATTTCCCCCCCAAAAAATTCCCCCTAAATCCCCGTTTTTTTTTCCCCAAATCCCCAATTTTTTCCCCCAAATTCCCCCTACACCCCCATTTTTCCCCCCCAAATCCCCATTTTTTCCTGATTTTGCCCAAAACCCTCATTTTCCCCCCTAAATCCCCATTTTTTTCCCCAAATCCCCATTTTTTCCCCCAAAATCCCCAATTTTTCCCCTCAAATCCCCATTTTTTTCCATCAGAAAACCCCATTTTTCTCCCCCAAAATTCCCCCTAAATCCCAATTTTCCCCCCAAATCCCCAATTTTTCCCCTGGTTTTGCCCAAAACCCTCATTTTTTCCCTCCAAAATCCCCATTTTTTCCCATCAGAAAAACCCATTTTTCAACCCCTAAATCCCCATTTTTTTCCCCAAATCCCCAATTTTTTCCCCCAAATTCCCCCTAAACCCCAATTTTTCCCCAAATCCCCATTTTTTCCCCAAAAAATTCCCATTTTTCTCCCCAAAATCCCCATTTTTTCCCATCAGAAAAACCCATTTTTTCCATCAGAAAAACTCATTTTTCCCCCCAAATCCCCATTTTTTTCCCCAAAATTCCCCCTAAACCCCAATTTTTTCCCAAATCCCCATTTTTTCCCAAAAAACTTCCCATTTTTTCCCCAAAATCCCCAATTTTTCCCCCCAAATCCCCATTTTTTTCCATCAGAAAACCCCATTTTTCCCCCCCAATTCCCCGTTTTTTTTTTCCCCAAATCCCCAATTTTCCCCCCCAAATCCCATTTTTTCCCCGTTTTTGCCCGAAATCCCCGTTTTCAGCCCCATGCTGACCGTGGCCGTGGCCCCCGCAGTGCCGCACTGCCAGCTCCACGCCCAGGAAGGTGACGATCCCGGCCAGCACCCACAGCCCCACGGCCAGCGCCGCGCCTGACACACACAGAAAAGGGACAAACATGGTGAAAATGGCACCAAAACGGGGAAAAACGGTGAAAAACGGAGCTGAAATGGTGAAAAAAGGGTGAAAAATGGTACGAAAATGGTGAAAAAACCGGTGAGAAATGGTACGAAAATGGTGAAAACCAGTGAAAATGGTGTGAAAAATGGGTGAAAATTGGTACTAAAATGGTGAAAAAATGGTGAAAATGGTGAAAAAAGGGTGAAAATGGTACTGAAATGGTGAAAAAAGGGTGAAAAATGGTACGAAAATGGTGAAAAAAGGGTGAAAAAATGGTGGAAAATGGTGAAAAAAGGGTGAAAAATGGTGTGAAAAATGGGTGAAAATTGGTACTCAAATGGTGAAAAAACAGTGAAAAATGGAACTGAAATGGTGAAAAAAGGGTGAAAAAAAACGGTGAAAAATGGTATGAAAAGGGTGAAAAAAGGGTGGAAAATGGTGTGAAAAATGGATGAAAATTGGTACTGAAATGGTGAAGAAATGGTGAAAATTGGTACTGAAATGGTGAAAAAAGAGTGAAAAATGGTACGAAAATGGTGAAAAAAAGGGTGAAAAACGGTGAAAAAAGGGTGAAAAATTGTACGAAAATGGTGAAAAACGGTACTGAAAGGGTGAAAAACGGTACAAAAATGGTGAAAATTGGTACTAAAATGGTGCTGAAATGGTGAAAAAATGGTGAAAAATGGAACTGAAATGGTGAAAAAAGGGTGAAAATTGGTACTGAAATGGTGAAAAATGGTGAAAATTGGTACTGAAATGGTGCTGAAATGGTGAAAAAATGGTGAAAAATGGTACTGAAATGGTGGAAAAAGGGTGAAAATTGGTACTGAAATGGTGAAAAAATGGTGAAAATTGGTACTGAAATGGTGCTGAAATGGTGAAAAAATGGTGAAAAATGGTACTGAAATGGTGGAAAAAGGGTGAAAATTGGTACTGAAATGGTGAAAAAATGGTGAAAATTGGTACTGAAATGGTGGAAAAAGGGTGAAAAATGGTACAAAAATGGAGAAAAAAGGGTGAAAAATGATACGAAAATGGTGAAAAAAGGGTGAAAACACGGTGAAAATTGGTACTGAAATGGGGAAAATTGGTACTGAAATGGTGAAAAAAGGGTGAAAAATGGTACGAAAATGGTGAAAAAAGGGTGAAAAAACGGTGAAAAATGGTGTGAAAAATGGATGAAAATTGGTACTGAAATGGCGAAAAAAGGGTGAAAAATGGAACTGAAATGGTGAAAAAAGGGTGAAAATTGGTATTGAAATAGTGAAAAAAGGGTGAAAAACGGTATGAAAATGGTGCTGAAATGGTGAAAAAAATGGTGAAAAATGGTACAAAAATGGTGAAAAATGGTACAAAAATGGTGAAAAAGGATGAAAATTGGTACTAAAATGGTGAAAAAAGGGTGAAAAATGGTACTGGTGAAAAATGGTACGAAAATGGTACTAAAATAGTGAAAAAAGGGTGAAAAAAACCGGTGAAAAATGGTATGAAAATGGTGAAAAAAGGGTGAAAATGGCAACAAAATGGTGAAAAAAGGGTAAAAAATGGCACGAAAATGGTGAAAAAAGGGTGAAAACCAGTACAAAAATGGTGAAAATAGGGTGAAAAAAGGGTGAAAAATGGTACAAAAATGGTGAAAATAGGGTGAAAATGGCACCAAAAATGGCGCCAAAATGGGCCCAAAATAGAACAAGATTGGCCCAAACTGGCAGAAATGGCAAAAAATTGTCCCAAAATAGTTGAAAATAGGCCCAAAATGGCACCAAAATGGGAAAAAAATGGGCCTAAAATGGCAGCAAACAGGCCCAAAATGGCTCCAAATTGACCGACCCAAAATGGCCAAAAATGGCACCAAACAGCCCCAAAATGGCACCAACTGTCCCCCAGTGGCCCAAAATGGCAAAAATGGTTGAAATTGGTCAAAAATGGCGCCAAAATGGCAAAAAATGGCACCAAATTGGCCCTAAATGAGCCCAAAATGGCCTCAAATTGGCACCAAAATGGAAAAAATTGGCTCCAAATGGGCCCAAAATGGCCCCAAATTGTCACCAAGTGTCCAAAGTGGCCCCCAAAATGGCCAAAAATTGGCACCAAGTGGCCCCAAAATGAACCCAAATGGCCTCAAATGTCCCCAAGGTGTCCCCAAACCACCCCCAACCCCCCAAAATGCCCCCAAAATGTCCCCAAATGTCCCCAGGCTCTCACCGTGTCCATGGTGGGAGTGGCCGTGGCCCTCGTGGTGCCCTGAGGGGACAAAAGGGTCCCAAAATTGTCCCCAAGTGTCCCCAAGGTGTCTCAGTGTCCCCAAAACCCCCTAAAACCGCCCCCAAAAATGTCCCAAAATGACCTCAAAGTGTCCCCAAACCCCCCCCCCACGTCCCCAAGGTGTCCCAGTGTCCCCAAAGTGTCCCAAACCCCCCTCAAACCACCCCAAAATGTCCCCAAAATTCCCAAAAATGTCCCCGAAGTGTCCCAGACACGTCCCAGTGTCCCCAAATCCCCCAAAACTGTCCCCAAATGACCCCAAAAAGTGTCCCCCAGGTGCCCCCCAAGTGTCCCCAACTACCCCAAAAATGTCCCCAAAAATGTCCCCAAATGTCCCCAAGGTGTCCCCAGGCTCTCACCGTGTCCATGGTGGGAGTGGCCGTGGCCCTCGTGGTGCCCTGAAGGGACAAAAGGGTCCCAAAATTGTCCCAAGGTGTCCCCAACCCAGCCAAGGTGTCCCCAAGGTGTCCCTAAACCCCCTAAAACCTCCCCAAATCCCCCCAAAATCGTCGCCAAATAACAAAAAAATGTCCCCAAGGTGCCCCAGTGTCCCCAAATCCCCCAAAAATGTCCCCAAATGACCCGAAAAATGTCCCCAAACACCCAAAAAATGTCCCCCAAGGTGTCCCCAGGCTCTCACCGTGGCCCTCATGGAGCTCATGGGGGGCTGTGGGGACAAAAGGGTCCCCAAAGTGTCCCCAAATTGTCCCCAAAGTCCCTTAAAACCACCCCAAATCTCTCCAAAAATGTCCCAAAATGACCCCAAAGTGCCCCCAGACCCCCTCAAAGTGTCCCCAAGCCCCCTAAACCCCCCTCAAACCACCCCAAAAATGCCCCCAAAATGTCCCCAAGGTGTCCCCAGGCTCTCACCGTGTCCATGGTGGGAGTGGCCATGGCCATCGTGGTGCCCTGAGGGGACAAAAGGGTCCCCAAATTGTCCCCCAAAGTGTCCCAGTGTCCCCAAAGTGTCCCTAAACCCACTTAAAACCACCCCAAATCCCCCCAAAATCGTCGCCAAATAAACAAAAAAAATGTCCCCAAGGTGTCCCAGTGTCCCCAAATCCCCCAAAAATGTTCCAAATGACCCAAAAATGTCCCCAAACACCCCAAAAGTGTCCCCAAGGTGTCCCCATGCTCTCACCGTGTCCCTCATGGAGCTCATGGGGGCTGTGGGGACAAAAGGGTCCCCAAAGTGTCCCCAAATTGTCCCCAAACCCCCTTAAAACCACCCCAAATCTCTCCAAAAATGTCCCAAAATGAGCCCAAGTGTCCCCAAGCCCCCTCAAAGTGTCCCCAAGCCCCCTAAACCCCCCTCAAACCACCCCAAAATGTCCCCAAGGTGTCCCCAGGCTCTCACCGTGTCCATGGTGGGAGTGGCCATGGCCCTCCTGGTGCTCTGTGGGGACAAAAGGGTCCCAAAATTGTCCCCAAAGTGTCCCCAAATTCTCCCAGTGTCCCCCAAAGTGTCCCTAAACCCACTTAAAACCACCCCAAACCCCCCCAAAAATGTCCCAAAATGACCCCAAAGTGTCCCCAAGCCCCCTAAACCCCCCCTCAAACCACCCCAAAGTGTCCCCAAAATGTTCCCAAGTGTCCCCAAGGTGTCCCCAGGCTCTCACCGTGTCCATGGTGGGAGTGGCCGTGGCCCTCATGGAGCTCATGGGGGGCTGTGGGGACAAAAGGGTCCCAAAATTGTCCCCAAATTGTCACTAGAGCCTCTTAAAACCACCAAAAATGTCCCAAAATGTCCCCAAATGTCCCCCAAGCCCCCTAAACCCCCCTCAAACCACCCCAAAATGTCCCCAAAGTGTCCCCAAAGGTGTCCCCAGGCTCTCACCGTGTCCATGGTGGGAGTGGCCGTGGCCCTCGTGGTGCTCATGGGGGGCTGTGGGGACAAAAGGGTCCCAAAATTCTCCCAGTGTCCCCAAAGTGTCCCTAAACCCCCTTAAAACCTCCCCAAAAATGTCCCCAAATGACCCCAAAATGTCCCCAAGCCCCTAAACCCCCCTCAAACCCCCCCAAAACCACCCCAAAGTGTTCCTAAAATCCCCCTAAAGTGTCCCCAAGGTGTCCCAGTGTCCCCAAATCCCCTAAAATCACCTCAAATCCCCCCCACAACCCCCTTAAAACACCCCAAAATGCCCCTAAAACCACCCTGAAACCACCCCAAAATCCCTCAAAAACCACCCCGAAACCACCCCAAAACTGCTCCAAAGTGTCCCCAAGATGTCCCCAGGGTGTCCCCTTGGTGCCACCCACGCAGGGCGTGGGGGATGAGGTGCAGGAAGGCGTCCCCCAGCAGTGAAGTGTCCCAGTGTCCCTAAACCCCCTAAAACCACCCCAAAATCCCTCAAAACCACCCCAAAACCCTCCCTAAAACCACCCCAAAGTGTCCCAAAATCCCCCTAAAGTGTCCCAGAGTGTCCCCAGGGTGTCCCCAAGGTGTCCCAGTGTCCCCAAACCCTCCTAAAATCACCTCAAATCCCTGCCAAACTCCCCTAAAACTACCCCAAAATCCCCTTAAAACCACCACACAACTCCCTTAAAACCACCCCAAAATCCCTCAAAAACCACCCCAAAATGTCCCAAAATCCCCCTAAAGTGTCCCAAGGTGTCCCCAGGGTGGCCCAGTGTCCCTAAACCCCCTAAAATCACCTCAAATCCCCCCCACAACCCCCCTAAAACCACCCCTAAATCCCCCTAAAACCACCCCAAAACCCACCAAAACCACCCCAAAGTGTCCCAAAATCCCCCTAAAGTGTCCCCAAGGTGTCCCAGTGTCCCCAAACCCCCTAAAATCACCTCAAATCCCCCCCCCAACCCTGTTAAAACACCCCAAAATGCCCCTAAAACCACCCTGAAACCACCCCAAAATCCCTCAAAAACCACCCCAAAACCACCCCAAAACCCCTCAAAATCCACCCCAAACCACCCCCGAAACTTCTCCAAGGTGTCCCCAGGGTGTCCCCAAGGTGTCCCCAGGGTGTCCCCGGGTGCCACCCACCCAGGGCGTGGGGGATGAGGTGCAGGAAGGCGTCCCCCAGCAGCCAAGTGTCCCAGTGTCCCTAAACCCCCTAAAATCGCCCCAAAATCCCTCAAAACCCACCCCAAAACCCTCCCTAAAACCACCCCAAAGTGTCCCAAAATCCCCCTAAAGTGTCCCCAGAGTGTCCCCAGGGTGTCCCAGTGTCCCCAAACCCCCTAAAACCACCCCAAAACCCCCCAAAAATTGCCCCAAACCACCCCAAAGTGTCCAAAACCCCCCTAAAGTGTCCCCCAGGGTGTCCCCAAGGTGTCCCTAAACCCCTAAAATCACCTCAAATCCCTGCCAAACTCGCCCTAAAACCACCCCAAAACCCCTCAAAACCCCTCAAAAACCACCCCAAAGTGTCCCAAAATCCCCCTAAAGTGTCCCCAAAGTGTCCCCAGGGTGTCCCCAAGGTGTCCCAGTGTCCCCAAACCCTCCTAAAATCACCTCAAATCCCTGCCAAACTCCCCTAAAACTACCCCCAAAATCCCCTTAAAACCACCACACAACTCCTTAAAACCACCCCAAAATGTCCCAAAATCCCCCTAAAGTGTCCCCAAAGTGTCCCCAGGGTGTCCCCAAGGTGTCCCAGTGTCCCCAAACCCCCTAAAATCACCTCAAATCCCCCCCACAACCCCCTTAAAACCACCCCATAACCCCCCTAAAACCACCCCAAAACCCCCCCGAAAGTGTCCCAAAATCCCCTAAAGTGTCCCCAAAGGGTCCCCAGGGTGTCCCCAAGGTGTCCCCATGTCCCCAAACCCTCTAAAACCACCTCAAATCCCCCCACAACCCCCCTAAAACCCCCCTAAAACCCCTCAAAAACCACCCCAAACCACCCTGAAACCACCCCAAAACTTCTCCCAAGTGTCCCCAGGGTGTC